ATGTCTGGCCTAAAGGTTAGTATTCCGAAATCTAATATTTTTCTCGAAAAATACAGATGCTCACATTGCAGATGATATTACAAATGTGTGTGGCTTCAAGCAAACTCACAATATAGGGAGATATCTTGGGTCAATGATGAAACATGGTCGAGTAACCAAAGACCATTATGCTGATGTTGTTGCAAGAATTAGGCACAAGTTATCTGGTTGGAGTAACCAGGTTTTATGTTTTGCCGGTCGAATTACTCTTTCCAACTCCGTTATTTCAGCAACTCCTATATTTCAAATGCAACACAGTCTGCTTCCTGTAGCCATTTGGTATGAAATAGAGAAGTTGCAGCGTGCCTTTATTTGGGGTGATAAAAATGGTCAAAGGAGATCTCATCTGGTTGCATGGGATAATATTTGCAAGCCTAAGAGCATGGGTGGTTTAGGGGTGATTAACCTTTGTGTCCAAAATATGGCTTTCTTTCACAAGCTTGCATGGGCGATACTTACTTCGCTCGATTCATTGTGGGTTCGAGTTGTAACAAGTAAATATAAGAGAGGTTTGGATCTTCGGAGGGAAGTAAATCATAAAGCATGTGACTCATACTTCTGGAAAAAATCTGTGTAGTGTTTGGCCATTTTTTCTTCAAGCAACGCAATGGGAGATTGGAGACGGTAATGATGCATTATTTTGGATAGACAATTGGTTGGGTTTAACTGAGTGTCTTGCCTCTCTGACTACTCGTACTCCAACAGGTTTGGAGTTGAATCTCCCTATTAGTGCCTTCGTGAACAGCAATATTGGTCAATGGAACTTTCCCTATATTCGTCAATATCTCAATGATCAAGCTGTTGCAAGGATCCAAGCTGCTCTCATTCCTAGCGCATCGGATGGAAATGACCGCATTATTTGGAGAAATCAAAAGGTTGGCTGCTCTTTAGTTAAAACCGTGTATTATAACATGCTTGGTTTCCCTCTCATGCCGTTGAAAAATTCTTGGACTACCATATGGAAATGGCATGAGGCTCAGCGTGTTAAATCTTGTATGTGGATCATAATGCATGGTCGCCTTCTTACTAAAGACTGCACATCTAGATGGAGTGGGGAATCTGGTCATGGTAAAATGTGTCCTGGTGAGTTGGAAACAAATCTCCATGTTCTAAGAGATTGTAAGCATGCTAGAAGTGTTTGGAATTCTCTGGTTTCAGTAATTGGCAAAGCTTATTCTACAGCTTGGATCTTAGAGATTGGGTTGAAAATAATATCTCAAAAGCTTGGAATCAAAGTGATTCAGATGATTGGCGTGATGTCTTTTTTATCTCTTGCTGGTTCATTTGGGGATGGAGGAACAAAAGTGTCCATGATACTAACTTCAAGCATCCAACCCATGGAACGCACATAATTGCTATGTATATAGAGGAGGTGCGTAACTGCATGGGTAGGAAGGTTATGGCTACTACTAGCATTCATCCAATTAGCATGAGTTTATGGAAACCTCCAAGACTAAATTGGGTGAAGATTAATATTGATGGGGCAGTTGAAAGGAATACTGAGGTGGCTGCTTGAGGTGAGATTATCAGATCTGATGATGGCTCTTGGTTGGGAGGCTTTGGGTATCATATTGGTGCTTGCACTCCTTTAATGGCGGAGCTTTGGGGAACTCTAAAAGGTCTGGAATTGGTTTGGCAACTGGGATTTAAGAAGGTGGAACTAGAAGGAGATGCTTCTGAAGTATTCTTTTTGCTTGCTGATTGCAATGCAGCTTGTCAGCCTCGTATAGTGGCTAAGATACAAGCACTCATCGGTCAGGATTGGGAGGTAACGCTTTCTCATATTCCAAGAGAAGCTAATTCCTGTGCAGATTGGTTAGCCAAGTCTGCTCTTCAAAAAGATACTGGATTCTGGAGTCATAGAGTTATGCCGTTTTACCTTGCTCAGTTATTTGATCACGATCTTCAGGGAATTTCCTCTTGTAGGGATATAGACCCTGGATAGTTGTTTTTTTGTTTCTGGTTGTTTGTTTGGGGCTTCGCCCCTTAATGTTATAAAAAAAATAAAAAAAATATTTATTGAAATATTTAAAATTTGAAAACAAACAAAATTATAAAAAGATCTTATTATTTATTTAAAGAATTAATTAGATCTTAATTGTACTTATAACGACTGACTCTATGATAAATAAGATTGCGCTCAATGGTTATCAAAGATTCAAACCGGCAAAAGAAATATTTCATGGAAAGAGGTCCCCTAACTCTCACACTTAAAAGATATTGAACTTATAAAAAGCACGGAGGTTACGATAAGGAGCAAGCAAAGTTTATCTGGTCCCGGATCAGAAATCATTTGATATGATTGTGGTGACAGAAAAGAAGAAAAGATTGAGGAGGACCATGATGATCCTGAATTACAATAAAAAATTCCTACAATAAGAGGAGGTTTTTTTTTTATTATTATTAATAGAGTACCGAATTTGATACTTATTTTAATTAAAAAGAAAATTTTATTTTTTATTTTAAATTATTTTTTTTAAACAAGTACTTTTAAATATCAATTTTTTTTTTCTTTTAGTATGAAATACTTATATTTGTTGTATTAAAGGTTTTCTCTGATAAAAAGTAGAAAAATCTCAGTCCACTGGAGCATTAAATTGAGTGTTTCTTTTTTAATTTTTTTCCTTTTTATTCATATTTTTTTTAAATCCTACAATTTTGTCTAAGCATCAATTCGGTGCTCCCGTGCACTGAACTTTTTCTCCGCAAAAGGATGCCATTGAACCTATTCTCTCCATGTAATAAAATAATGTATTTTTATTGGGATAACGATCAAAATATCACTCTTTCACAAAAAAATTACTTGAATACCATGGATCAATTTTTCTTTCTTTCAAAATGCCACGTTATCTAACTTGCTATAACACTTGGCGAGTTAGATATGGATACGTTTCAAACTCGTTTTGCTGCATAGCATGTTATGTGCCAGCTTTTCTGACATGTGGTCATACATATTGTGCTGCATAGTATATTATGTGTAAGTGGTCCGGCAATCCAGTATTTTTAGTCTAATAATTTCACCACTCCTAATAATAATTAATTAACAGTTCTAAAATAATTTAAATTAATAAAAATAAATTAAACTAAACTAATTAACAGACATAAATTTAATTTAATTCATTAACACTTTTAAGTTAAATTAAATTACTTAACAGTTCAAAAAAAATTTAACTTAACATAAACTAAATTAAGTGAAATTAATAAACACTCCTAAAAATAATTAACTAATAGTTGTAAAATAATTAAAATTAATATAGACAAAATTAAACCAAATTAATTAAAAATATAAACTTAATTTAATTCATTAACACTCCTAAATTAAATTAAATTAAATTACTTAACAGTTAAAAATATTTTAACTTAACATAAACTAAATTAAATTAAATTAATTAACACACATAAATTAAATTAACTTAACATCCCTAAATTAAATTATTTTATAATAAGTTATTTAAAACTAAAATATTCAAACCAATATTAAATTTCCTTAAATCATTTATTTCAAAATACCAAAATCAATAATTAAAATTATCTTATAATTTATTAGATCACAATGATGCAAGAAATGAGAAGGAAAATGATGAATTTATTAGACCAAAGACGTTGAACTACTGGGCCATTTACACAAAATATGTTATGCAACACAGTATCTATGAACACGTGTCAGAAAAGCTGACACGTAATATGCTATACAGCATAACAAGTTTGACACATATCAGACACGTAACACGCTAAGCTGACACTTAACATGTTATGCAGCATAAGGAGTTTTTGTGCAGCGACTTACATAGTCATAAATCTACTGCCACGCGTCCACACATAACTCGTCAGGTATTTTATTAAGTTAAATGATAGGTCATTTTGAAAGAAAAAAAAAATTCAATACGTGCCATTCCGATAATTTTTGATATTTTGGTCGATATCCCACTTTTATCACCTGAGCTAGTACTTTAAGGATTTAGATATAAATTTATTATAAATGTTTATGTTACCGCGTAATGATAAAATTTCATGTCATGATAATAGCTAATAAAAAATTATTTATTTACAGTAAAAGGTATCGGTGTTTTATAGGAATAACTAACCGTGTAAGAAAGTCTCTGAATATTTTAGCGGAGTGTTACATTGCCACGTGGCACAGTGACCCGTCTCGTTGCGAATATATAAAAAAATCAGGTGGTTCTCCCTTATTTAATGGGTCACTATTATTCCTATCTTATCTGTTCCAGTATCTTTTAGGCTGGGCGCCTAAGCATTTTTCTATTATTATGTTTATAACTTTAGATGGTTAAGCAAATTAATTTGATAAGAAAATTATCTAATAACAATTTTTCAGACACGTGGATAGATAGATATTTTATACGGGAAAATAATTTCTACTTTTGAAGCCCATAAATTTGTCATTACCACAGAGACAAAAGGATAAAGAGAGAAAACATAGAGAAATGGAAAAGAAAAAAAATGACAAAAGGATAAAGAGAGAAAGTATAGAGGAATGAGAAAAAAAAAATGATGGAGACCATTCGTTTAAATTTATCTGCTTCAGAAACAGAAATCATATTCCGATTTTATATATAATAAAATTATATCCCCAATAATCCCCTCCAATTTCTGATCTAAGGCTTCCCAACTAATTTACATCAAATTGGATAAAATCATAATCAAATCTCACCAAGCAAAAAAAGAAAAGAAAAAGAAATTGTAATATATAATCTAAAAATTAAGAAATAACTTTTAAGTGGCAAAATCTAAACACATCGAACAAATTATATCTGTCATTTATTTTTTAAAGAGCCTGATAATATCTTCATGCCAAATTTTTAACACAGCTGCATATTCAGTATTTAAACTCAAATCACTAACTAAACTGGAATAAATAATAACCCCTTATTGGTTGATCCGCGTCATTCTTCTGTGCATTACAGTAATGAACTACTAATTTATTGCATTTAATGAACCATGAGAATTCAAGCACCAAAAGCAAAAAAGAGAAAGAGAAAGAGAAGTCAATTACATTCTGAAATATAGACCACTCATGCACCGGCCCAACAAGGTTTACATCGCACTTTCAAGTCTTTCAAAGGACAAAAACGATGGACATATACCAAACTAGGGGAATATTTTAATAATCATGATAAACACTTTTATTGTCTAGAATTACAACAGCTTTCTACAAACCACTCTGTACATTTAGCATCTGATACTAACACATATAATTGCTATTCTTATACCAAGATAAAGTACTCCCATTCTATATTCTATACTTATTTTTTTAACCTATATTTTTCCTTCATTATTATTATTATTATTATTATTTTTTGAGGGTTTTCCTCCTATAGATTTGTTCTATACAAGATAGAGCAGTAGATTCCAACACCGGCCTCAGTGAGCAGGGCTCAGGTATTGTAAAATATAATAAAGCATAGATCTAAGGACCCCACATTGCCACTTAGGGAAGAGGCAACAACTGGTGTATCTTACTGGGTATAATTATTGTTTGCTAAGTGACCTTAAACCCACTAATACTATATCTATAGACTATATAGCATTAGTATTCTATAATAAGACCTCCTCCCATTGGAGCTCTATGTGGGACTCCCTTCCTCCTCTTAGCAGTCCTGTAATTAACCACTGTTGGTGGTGGTGTTGATGGAGTAAAGCTCTGGATTTTGTTCCTGGCACTTCTTTTGCTAATGCCATTCACTGATTCTTCACCATCAGACCCATCTTTCTCAGCTAACATTTTTTTCTTCCGGAACTTCTTGGAGGTTCCAACTACCTACGAAGAAAATTGAAAACTTGAACATGTAATTCACATTCGTCTACGCTTATAATCTTTTTTCTCTTGCTTTTTCAAGGGAAACACAGAAGGTACACACATATTAAATGTTTCTACATACTTTATATAGAAAAGGTCAAAAAAGTAGGAGCTAGTTAGTAACAGTACAACTTCTCTGAAAATTAGGAAATTAATTCACCGTAATTTGCTATAAGTAATGTAATTCAAAGATTAGGTTGAAATCCTACTTTAATGCTGCCAAATAGAAATTTTCCATACACAAACAAAGTGCTTAACGTTTTAAGTATAAACACAAAGAAAAGTAGGAAAAAAAAGAAAAAGGAATGCGTATAAAGTAACTTGATAGAGATTTGGGTTAACTATATATATATACCTTACAACCAAGAGAGCAGAAGTTGAAGGAATCAAGAAGACTGCGCTCACAGACCTGGCAGGTATTGGTGACTCCTTTGCCAGGCCTAGGTTGAGGCCTTTCATTCAAGAACACAATCTTGGCACTGTTGATAATGTATGTCTGGACCCCTGTTATGTCCAGAAATTTCTGTATCTCAGACACCCTTATCACATCGTGGTATGATGACCTCCTTATCTTTGAAACATAATAAAAATTGAAAGAATTAAACAAAATAAAAAAGCCATCAGAGAATATATCCACAATATATATAATTTTTTTTTTTTTGCTAAAATAAAATACTAAAATTTTAAAAGAATAAATAATCTATCTCACAGGGTGAACCAATGGGCACTTGAATTGTACAAAAATCAACTCTTCAATGGAAGAAAATTCAAAGTCCAAATTTTTTAACTGGCCATCCATAGTTGACTTTGGAATTGGAAATTCAGCCTTGAATGGCACGCGTAACGATAAAACAAATACAAGAGACAAAAATCTTAAAGATCAATCAAAAGGGATTGGACCCTAACAATGCAGGAAGGGTACACAATCAAGATTACAGGCATTCAAATCCTTGAGATTTGACCTTTTGGGTTCAAATCCCCATGGAAATGGATCAAATTGAGTCATAGATGCACAAAGACAATTATTAACTAGTTATTAAGCTACAAGTTTTTGTTTTTATTCTTATTTTTATTTATTTTACCTGAATAGCTCTGTGTTCTCTGTGAGAAGCCAAACAGGCAGAGCAAAGGGCTCCATTCATACAGTCCAAGCAATACATATTGCATTCACTTTTGTGGGAATCAGCGTGAACTTTGCATTGAACAAAGAAGCTTGTTTGGAGAAGTGGCTTCAGCCACGGTGGCCACTTGTTTTCTTCTTCATTCTTTCCAACATCATCATCTTCTTCTTCATTGAGACCTCTCATCCCAACTGCATCTCCTCCATCCCCCTAATTCCAAATAACCAGTTTTAACAAAGAATAAAGAACAAAATACAAAATAATTTAAGAAAAAAATTCCTACGTGTGGAATATGTGAGAGAGATTGCATTGATTGTTGGTAGTAAAACTAACCATGATTGTTGTTGTATACTTTTGGGGCTTGGTTTCTCTTATGGTGGGTTATTGATCCTATATGATAACAATCAAGTTTTGCTTTGGAGGCAGAGAAAAAAAAAAAAAAAAAGAACTTTCTCTCAATATGGTATCATCTTTGTAGAGAGAAAAGAGAGAACGGAAAAGGTTGGAACTTTGGAAGTGGGGTTATAAGTTTGTAGTGGTGGGTGGCAAATGAAGGGAGAAAGTAAAGTTAGTGTTTATTATCTTGGCCTTCTTCAAAGTCTACAACCAAACCTCACTCCGAACCCAATCCATAGAGCATACCTTTCTCACAAGGAACAAAGAATTGACCTGCTGTAGTAACTTTTATTTTTATTATTATTATTAAGCGTGTGTTTGGTTAAGTTTATTTTATATTTAAAATTAGTCTTTCTCGTATTAAAATGAATAATTTTATCTCCTACACATATATAAAAATTTGTAAAATTCATATTTTCTTTTTTTCTCTTTTCTTCACATAGACCTCACATACTTTTGAATGTTTATGAAATAATTTTATCTCCTAAATCATAACAAATATTAATCTCTTAAACAATTTAGGATTACGGAGAGTGAGAAAGTTTAATTTTTTTATACAAAGAAAGTTTAATTTAAATGTGTCCTAAGTTTATGCGAATATTTTGGTAATTTATATTTAGTTCAAGTAATTTGCTTTGATTAAAAGTTTAGAATTTCAATATATCAACAACAACAAAAAAAGAATTTCATTATGAAGCTCAAATAATTATTATCAGTGGATAATTTATGCATTCTATTTTGTTTGGCTTATATTTGTAGCTGGAAAAAAATTTTGAGCTCGGACATGGTAGGTTAAAGTTGGCAAGTTGGCGAATGGAAACAGCAACAGTGTGTGTTTCGGATGATTGACACTTGGAAGGTTAGATGTTAACATTTGGAGGAAAAGAAATATTAGTCAGCATTTAGTGGAATATATTTTATAGAAAATGAAAGGACATGTGTCGGATTGTTGGGAGGGCGAGTGGCATCTCTGTTTTCCATTCCAATTACCATTATAGCAGAATCCTCCATACACCACTCGTGCACTAATAATTTACAGAATATTTTTACTTTTTAATTTAGAAAATAAGTCCATTTCTACCGGGATACCTTTTCCAATTTTTATTTTTATTTTTCAAAATAATGTTTACAATGAAACTTTAGATGAATCTAGGTTAGGCCGCAATTGGTAATGGTCTGATTAATTTATTAGCTGCTGTTATTATCATATGTGGTGGAACAGTTAAAATTGTGATATAGATCAGGTTAGCCCACTTTAGTTTATGAATCAACTATACAAAATCTGAAGAAAACATTTTCTTTATATAATGCCAATAGGAAGATTTGAATTTCTAATCTTTTGTAACTGACTAAAATTTCTCATCAATAACCCCCTTTTTTAATAATTAGAAGACAACGTATGTGAATATTGAGGGAAAAATTTCATTGCTAAAGAGTTGATTAAATTGGGTGGGTCAAATATGGATATATATTTAAATTATATGGAAAAGAAAAAGAAAATAAGATTAAATTAAAAATATTTTTTCCCCAATCAAGCTTGCGATTGAAAATATTTTATGGAAACAAATCAAGTTTGAAGAGAATAATGAATAATATCACAAAATTAGAATCCATTGTAATAAGAAATCTATATAAAGATGCAAAGAAGCTAAACAGGAGCACTTAACTTTTAAAAGTATCTAAATTAATTTTTGTAGTTAAGAACATAATGAAAAACATCACAAAAGTTAGTTTTAATAAGAATAGAAAATCTATATAAATTTTAAAGCTTTGAATGATGCTATGCTAGCCAAACTAGGCAAAAAGCTGCTAAATCCCAAAAATTCCTTGCCTTTATAGAAGCGTGTTCAAAAGGCAATATGTCCCACATACCACTTTTCTACAAGCTCTTAGTAGCTTTCACCCCTTGGCTTGGGGTTTGAGGGGTCCTATTAAGGGGTGTGAATATCTGAAAAGGTCCACCGTCCACCAGTGTCACCACCTCATTTATCTCTTGGCTAATCCATTGACCAAAGAAGGCAGAAAAGGTGAAGGGTGCTTTTCTGAAAACCATTGCCTCTTAAATTATATATGTGGAAATCTATGATGACTATGGCAGCTTAATCTATAATTGCTCCAAACAGTGTTTCAAGTGGGTGCAAAGTGGTACCCATCCTTTTTAACTCACTGTTTGTCCTTTTCAGTACACGGGAACCATATAACTCTTTAACAATCTAAATGGCTTGTAAACTTTACTTACAAGGTCAAATTGTTCCTTTACCAAACTTTATGCCACAAAATTTTATCACTTATTATTATAATAATAAGAAGAAAGTTATATTTATAAACTTTTTGTTTACAAACTACACTAAATATGACCGGTCATACTTCAATCAAGAGTGTAAACCGGTCATACTTCAATCAAGAGTGTATGACCAGTCATATTTATGATTGAAGTATGACCGGTCATACTTAGTGTAATTTGTAAACGGATTCTTTTCCTAATAATAATAATAATTTTCAGTTTGTAGGAAGTTAAATGAAAAACAAAGCAGTAATAATGGGTACAATAATCATAATTTTACAGAATTTATTTTAAGAGTCTATTGTGTGTTGTTGGTGTGTATGGGTTCGTTTAGATTTGGGCCCATAATAATTAAGCGTGTTTGAATTTGGGTCTTGGTGAGTAGGGACTAGACTTAGGGCCCTTCACTTTCACCTCCAATTATTCAGAGTCGCGAAATTCTCCATTGGAATTGTTACGGGTACATACAGCTTTTTTTTCGATCCTTCATTCTGATATCTGAATTTGTTTTAACTCTTGCTACAATTTTGATGCCATTTTTATATTCAGTTTCTTTTTCTGTTCATGGGTTGCCGCATGCTCTAATAAATAGAATCATGGGTTGCTATTGCTTTGGAATTGGACTTGATCCATTTTTCTCTGTATTCTGAGATTATTGTAAAGCACTTTTTCCTTTTTGATTCTCTGTTGAACTAATAATAGTGAATTGATTTTTGATACTTTTGTTCATTTTGGCTGCTGAGATATGTTGCATGCTATGTGTTTGATGAACTGTCTGAACTGGACTTCAATGATTGTTTGTGGCAAGGATTTGATGGTATCTATGATAAATTGGAACGTGTTTGAAACTGTCATAGCTCAAGCTTGTGGGGTTTGAAAGGGAGTAAGGTTGAATTATAAAATTAAAATAAAAACTAAAATATTGATAAAATTATTCATTGAAGTCACTAGAACTTCTGGAATATTGACTAACCACATGGCTGGGAGCTGCTTGTTATCTTTTCTCCATATGCTTGCAAGCCATTTAATAGACCTCATGTAATAAAATGGCCATGGTCCAACTCTAGAAGGAATATGGAGACCTCCTATTTCTTAATGAGTGTGAAGGACCAGGTGTGCTTGATCTAAACCAGCAACACTTCGTAAGCTTTTACGTAACCCCTAACTCTCTTTTTTTCAGATCAGTTCAGGCTATATAACTCAGGAAATCAGATTGAATATTCAGATTGCTCCTATATAATTGGTGCTGGGGTTGTGTGGGATCTAGCTTGGATCCCATCCATTGCCATCCTTATCACTGACTTGTTTTCTCAGATTGGGTTCTCCTTTTGGATCTGGCCAAAGTTGTACAAGGATACATTCTTCCCAATCACAAACAAACTAAATGTCTTCAATAACTTGCCACAGCTCGTGGCTACTTTCCAATTCTTCACCAGTAGTGGTAGCTAATGATAAAAATAATGATGTGAAACATACTAATTTTGCTCAAATACCTTCATGGATCTCTTTAAAATGCTGTCATTCTTCAACGAGGACCCATAAAAATCATCAAGGGCAAGTTGAAAACTTGCATTTGATTTCTTTAGCCAAACAAGGGAAGTTTAATAAAGTGCATGAATTTATCAGAAGCATGGACGAAGCAGGTATTCCCATCAATCCCCAGTCGTATGAATACCTGTTTAAAATGTGTGGAAAGTTGGGTGCTCTGTCTGATGGTAAATTATTTCATAATAAACTGCAGAGAATGGCTAACAGCAACAAGTTCATAGACAATTGCATCCTTCAAATGTATTGCGACTGTAAGAGTTTCACAGCTGCAGAGAGATTCTTTGATGAAATGGTTAATCGGGATTCATTTTCTTGGACCACCATGATATCTGCTTATACTGAGGAAGGGCATATAAATGAAGCTGTTAGACTGCTCTTGCGTATGCTGGATTTGGGAATCATACCGAGCTCCTCTATCTTCATTACTCTTATGAGGTCCTTCGCAGATCCTTCGGTGTTAGACCTTGGCAAACAGATACATTCTCAGTTGATAAGGCTTGGGTTTACTGCCAATGATTGGATTGAGACATCAATCTCCAATATGTACGTTAAGTGTGGGTGGCTGGATGGTGCTGAAGTTGCCACCAATAAGATGACCAATAAAAATGCCGTGGCTTGCACTGGGTTGATGGTGGGCTATACTCAGGATGCAAGGCACAAGGATGCTCTGTTATTATTTGCCAAGATGATAAATGAAGGTGTAAAGTTGGATGAGTTTGTCTTTTCAATAGTGCTGAAGGCGTGTGCTGCTTTAGGAGACTTATACATTGGAAGGCAAATTCATGGTTACAGTGTAAAACTTGGCTTGGAATCTGAGGTCTCAGTTGGAACTCCGCTAGTGGATTTTTATGTTAAGTGTGCAAGGTTTGATGCTGCACGTCAAGCTTTTGAGAGCATTCGCGAACCAAATGATTTTTCGTGGAGTGCTATAATCACTGGATATTGCCAAAGTGGTAGATTTGACAGGGCTCTTGAGATTTTTAAAACAATAAGAAGTAAAAAAGTGTTGTTGAATTCATTCATCTATACCAACATTTTTCAAGCATGCTCTGCTGTCTCAGATTTAATTTTCGGTGCTCAAATTCATGCAGATGCAATAAAAAAAGGGCTAGTTGAATGCCTCTCTGGGGAGAGTGCTATGATCACTATGTACTCAAAGTGCGGCAAAGTGGACTATGCACGTCAAGCATTTTTGACTATAGATAAACCTGATACTGTTGCATGGACTGCTATAATATGTGCTTATGCTTACCATGGCAAAGCTTCTGAAGCTTTGAGGCTTTTCAACGAGATGCAGGGGTCTGGTGTAAGGTCAAATGCTGTCACATTCATAGGTTTGTTAACTGCTTGTAGTCATTCAGGTTTAATAAAAGAGGGAAAGCAGTTTTTGGATTCAATGAGTGACAAATACGGTGTGGACCCGACAATTGATCATTACAATTGCATGATTGATATATACTCTCGTGCCGGTTTACTACAAGAGGCTCTTGAAATGATAAGGAGTCTACCATCTGAGCCTGATGTAATGAGTTGGAAAAGTTTATTAGGAGGATGTTGGAGCCATCGGAATCTTGAGATTGGGATGATTGCAGCTGAAAGGATCTTTCACCTGGACCCACTGGACTCTGCTACTTATGTGATCATGTTCAACTTATATGCTTTGGCTGGGAAATGGGATGAAGCAGCCCAATTTAGAAAGATGATGGCTGAAAGGAACTTGAAGAAGGAAGTTAGTTGCAGCTGGATCATTGTAAAGGGTAAAGTTCACCGTTTTGTGGTAGGAGATAGACACCACCCTCAAACAGAACAGATATACTCAAAATTAAAACAGCTCAATTTTGCTGTCAAGAAGAAGGGTGAGGAGCGCCTTCTTAATGAAGAGGATGCGCTACGTGACTTTACTGAACGGAAAGGGCAGCTTCTTGATCATAGTGAGAGACTTGCTTTAGCCTATGGTCTCATATGCAACACACCTGAGACCCCCATTATGATATTCAAAAATACTCGATCATGTAAAGACTGCCATGATTTTGCAAAGAGTGTCTCATTAGTAACCGGTCGTGAATTAGTTGTGAGAGATGCCAACAGATTCCATCATATTAAGTCGGGGGAATGTTCTTGTCATGATTATTGGTGATTTCCGCTTAGTTCTTTTCAAGGTCTCAGCCCTTTGATTTTTCTTAAAGCTGCATCAGTGACAGTATTGAATAAAATAACAAGTTATGATATGTGGCCCTTTACATAACCCTTCAGAGCAGTTTCATTTTAACCAAGCAAATAGTTCATATTGGAACTATTTTTTCTTAAATAAAAAGATGAGTCAAGTTCTGTAAACTTATCTTTTGGTTGAGATATTGGCTTATATTTTCTCGATAACATTTCCTAAACATCTCTTTTCCATACTTCTTTTCTCCTCCCCATTTCTCAGCCTCCTAATGAAGATCCTTTAGGCACCACTTAAGAGGTGGGGCTTCCCTTAAGCCTTAGTAGGGTCTAGAATTCAATAGAACCAAAACGAAAAAGGGAAAAAAAGAAAAAGGTAAGAGTTAAATTCCCTCAGCATCCAACGAGGATTACCGGCGAAGTGACAATCAAAGCTTAGGAAATCAAATGAGAAGCGTTACACCGACTATGATATAATGCTCAATAATCCAAACTGTATCATGCACAAGAACAAGAATTTAACAGCTTTGACAAAATTATTCCAGCACCAAGACCTTACCCTTTCAAGTTTCAATTGTAAAGAAATAATAAAAAAAAAACTACCCATAAAATCCTGAAAGGGGTGAGGAAATCATTGTCGTTTTTCAATCCGTTATATTCCATTACTTGAATGCATCATTGACGACATTATCAAACTGGAAGCGCCTCACATTGTAGCTTCAACTTCAGGATCACTTTCTCTCTGTGCAGCAGGCACGTTATTGCCACCTCTCAAACGTGAAGATACATTATCAATGGCAGAATTTAGTTGGCTTATCTTTTCATTCAAGGTCTGCCTGGTCCTCTGCTTTGAAGATCAGCATAACATAATTATATAACAAACTCAGTATATTCCAATGACACAGAAAAGCTGAATACAAAGCCAAGGGAAGCCTAATTACCTCTAACCCTTCGTCATAATATATTGGTCTTTTGGCCTTGCGAAACCCATATTCATCTTCATTTAGCAGAGATCTTCTGATCTGCATCACAAAATAGAGTCAACATCTAAGCATATTAAGGGCCTTCAAAATGGAAATAATAATATCACACGAGTAAATTGTAATAGAAATCAACAGCAATACAACAATAAGATGTAAATTGCAAAGATGAGTCAATTTTGCTATGAAAAAAGTAAACAATAATATGGATAGAATTTTAAGCCATTTAAAGTTTAGCTAAGATAACACTTATATACCAAATAATAATACTAGATTCAAAGATGGAGAAAAAAGTTAGTAGCATAGTTTTATAGACACTAAAAACAAACACTCATGACTCTGACCCATCGCCGCAGCAGATTCATATCATCAAGGATATTGCAAATGAAAAAGAAAGTTCATTAATTCTTTGCTTCTCCTTAAAAAAGCAAATTCAGGCCTTGGAGTACTGAACAAATGTTTCACAAGGTAATGAAACAACAGTGATGTAGTTACTAATGAAGACTCCATTGTGGAGTAAGTCCTGCCATGACTGCATCTCCTCGTTTGGAAAAAAAAAACATAATAACTTTTTCAAAAGTAGTCATCTATCACATGGTTAATCTGTCTTCCTTTCTCTTTATTTTTGAATAGTAAATTCAAGCTTGTTCATCGTACATTGTTTTTTGTTAAATTTGCTAGACTTAATAAATTTATTTAAGTATGAAGAAATCACCTGAGGGGCAAAGACATAAGCTAGGGTTCCCAAAACCGCACCACCCAGAAGAAAGCCAGCAACAAAATCCCCACCTCCTCCTCCTCTATTATCACTGCACAAGGGAGACAGTAAATGGAAAGAACAATAAATCATCATGTAATCTTCCAAAACAAGCAACCAATAAGACCAAGTGACGAGCAAATTCAAACCATTACTCCTAGCATTCAAAAGACAATTAGCACCAAAATATTCTCAGAAATCATGAAACGAATCAGTAGTTACCATTTCTTTTTCTTCTTATTCATTATGGAGAAAGTAGTGTCAAACGTCCATTCACTAATTGTTTTTAAATTCATAATATAAAATACATAGGCAATAAAGGGACCTTTAAATTCTAAGACAGACGGTGAAATCAAAACATACAAGTGTGATGGACAGTGTAAAGAAATTTTGATCATCACTATTCTTTCTTCACTTCTTCTCTTTCATTGACAAATTTATTATACGATTTATTTAGCATCAAAGATAACTTAAAGATTCCTGAAATTTTATATTTAAAGATTTATAAAATATTCCCAAGCAAGTCATGTTGATGTGATAAAATAAACCACGTTGCCAAAGAATTTGAATGCATAATAAGCAAATATGAAGTCTTCAAATATTAAGCTTTTACAAATACAAATATAAAGACATAATCATCCGGATAATAAGGAGTCTCTGGCTATGGTTATAATGGTTTAATTTACTTTAAAACCGAAAATCGTAGCAACTTGAAATTATTTTCTTAAATTTATAATAAAGTGAACTAAAAATGGCATACCGGTATTCTGCACAAATTGATGAACTGTGTTTCTTCCTGCTCACAAGGTTTGGTTTCCTTTGAACAGTAAGCTTAGGTCCAAACCCAGATAAATCACGCTTTGTTAAACACAGCTCACGTGACTTGAGATGACATCCACCTACTCCCAAATTCATACAATAACAAAATTCCAATATTTATTAGAAACACTGAGTAAAATATAAAAAAAAGATTGATCTAAAAATAAATTTCCTCCGATGTTCCAAGAATTGATAGTAGGTAAGACCAAGAATCAAAGAAATTGAAATCAACAAAACCAAAAATAAAAAATTATTGAAAGCAACCCTAAAAATCAAGGGAGTAAAGACTGGGATCAAGGTAGAAAATTTTCTGACACGCCATGTTGTTTCGAAATTGTTGATTCTTTGGAACCGAAGGGTTATCAAGAGATGAAGAAATTCATTGGGGAAATTCACCTGAAATCGAGAATGGCGTGAAACAAGTCGCCATGAGAGAAACTGAGAGTGAGAGAGCAAAGAGTGTGTTGTGTTGTGTAGTTATCGGAGACAGAGGAGATTACGAGGAGACCAAATTGTTTTGTTATCTTTCTGTATAAAATAATCACAGCCCATCGCTACAATTTTATATTTATTTATCAGCAGATTAATTAGTTTAAATAAATAAATAAATAATTCATTTTAAATTATGTTTCATAAGTTGCATGCCGTGTTTTAAAATATCGCCTCAGTCTGGATCACTGACTCCTTCTTTCTAAGGGTTCAGGTTAGTAATTAAACTCTACTTGTATATTAAGTCCTCTAACCCCCAAAATCTTTCAGTTGAACTAGTGACTCGGGGTTAGAGGGGTCAAAGAGGTCATTGTATTTTTTTTTTTAAATTATACACGAAATAATATCGTTTGATTTGTAAAACAAAAAAAATAAAACTCGTTGCTGCCTAGTTTTAGAACTATATCTGAAATCTGAATTGTTCTTCTTCTTCTCTTACGAGCTTCTCTCCAAGACTCAAACTCATTCTCCCGGTTTCAGTGATCTTCTCAACCGTGTTGGTTCTTCTCTTCTCACCGTTAATTTGTCATGTCGCTACCTCTTCTCCGCTATTCTCTAATGGATAAGGGATCTCCTTTTTCACATACTGTTGCAGGTGATTAGAAGGACCTGAATTAGATGATATAACTTTTCATTAACTTCATTGGAATATGTGTTTTATACTTTGATTAGCTTGTGACTATTGACTTATGAATGTAATTGGTTGAATTATGTTAAGGATATTTTGAATCTTTAATGATTGATAATATAATTTTTTTAAATTTTTTATATAGAATATATATTTATATTTTTTAATATATAAAATTGGGTCAGCGAAGTGATCCCGTGACCCCTCGATTGAACTCATGATTTCGTGATCCATAACCTCGGCCGACTCGATGATCGGGCCAGGATTTTAAACCCTGGTTGCATGTGAAGATATTGTTGGGTTTAATATGCTCTTTTCACTTAATCCCAATAGCTTTAGTGAGAGTGAGCCCAAAAAGACTAATTTCAACCCATGAAGCTTAGGGTTAGTCTTGGATTGGGCAGAGTATATAAACTTTCTTTTCTCTCTAGTGCCTCCAAGGGTTACAGACATCAGAAACACAAAGAGGCAGACGTTCATCATCTGAACGGTTGCCCACACGACCACCTGATCCCCCTTGAGTCATAGCCTGGAAGATCAACTGTAGAGCGGAATTGCGACCGTTCGTGGTGCGTTGCTGCAGATCGTGAGGCTTGAGGAGGAGAACAGAACGTGAGAAATTGTCACGCTCGCTGCTTCATCTCAGGTAATCAAAGTGGTGTTCTTCATTCCTCATCACATCGGTGCGATGCGCTTCCGCGTTTCTGATGATATACCTTCAGATATATATCTAAAAGTTAAATTTCAGACGAATTATAATGATAAACTTGTTACTTTAGATTATTATTTTTTCTCTTTTTTGGCAAGATATGAAAAATAAATGTATTTAAGTTCATCATTTTATATGTGCGATTAACATGATATTTGCGATAACATGTCATATAGGATAGGAAGGTTCCATATTGCTGCATGATCACATGTCATACGTGCATATTTAATATTATGTCATTACCGACTAGTATGATAGTTTATGCCCGTAGTTTTTGATTTTAAATATTCCGGTAAAATAAAATTATGATTATTATGATTTTGGAAAAAAATAATCTAGATTAATGGTTATATTAATTTCTAAGAGAAGAATTATAATTCTCAGATGTGGAATTCATCTTCCTAAGGAGTGATCAAAGACTTCTAAGAAGGAAGAATGCATGAGCAAGATATCTTATGCTTTGGCAAAGGTAGACTCACGCATTTCATGTTGGGCGTTAAACCAGACATCTGTCACGCAGTGAGAGTAGTGAGATAGTACCATTTTGAACCTAGAGGAAGACTAGATTATTGTTAAGCACGTACTCAAGTATCTTTGGAGAACGAGAGATTATATGCTGGTATATTCTAGTGGGAGTCTTGAAAAGATGAGTTTTCAAAAATTCAGTTATTTCAAGTGGATATTGACTCAAGAAAATCAACCTCGAGCTATGAGTTTTTCACTAAACTCAGATAGCATTAGAGGTGGATCTTGCAGACCCAGTTACTAAGAGTTTGCCTGAACTTGTGTTCGAGAGGCATGTTACTTCTTTGGATCGTAGGAGGATCCCAGACTTGCTTTAAGCAACTGGGAGTTATTGGTTTCATTGTGCTCTTGGAGTAAGACGATGAAACAATAAAATAATTTTTTGAATTTCATAAATAAAGTTTTATTTATTTATTTTGCGCACTATTTACAAACATAAAGGTCCGGATCAAATTGTGGAGTATATGAGCATATGGATACGTTCATGGAGGACATGATCATAGGTTCTCACAATTGATGAATGCAACAACCGTTAAATAAAGTTGGGCACTTTATTCAGGCTGCAATATTTTATGAAATGATTTTGTCCGAATCATTGTAAAATATTGGTGTGAATTAACATTCACATTGAAAGGATCAAGGAGAGATTTGATTAAGGTTGTTTTTCTGTCATAAGGTATCAAATCTCCAGTTAACTATAGTTATGTGATTGCTCTTAATCCTGAGTTTATTATAAATAGGTAATCAAATAGTTTTCATTCTTTGATTTACCAACGAGTGAGGTTCGATCTATTGACGGCCAATAACTCGGTATTTTGGGAGTGAGATTATTTGATTATCGGTATTTATGAGATAAACAACATGGAATTTGTAGGTATGTCCCCTTGATATGTTTCGGTACTTGGATATTAAAGACACTGGCCAGTGCATGTAATCCATTAGAGAAACTATCATAGTCAAGGGAATAAATAATTGATTGAGTTACAGAAAACTTGTCAATCAATCATAGACATTCTACAAAGGGGCGATGCATATTCATGTTATAAAGGTCATTAATCTTGGAGTTCACGTTCGGGCTTTTAGTGGAGTAGCGCCGAATTAGATAATCTTTCAAAGATTATCAGGAGCCTTGATGAGTGACAAATGGTAGATCCCCAGGCTAGCTCGAGACAAGGGATGGGTTGTATAATCAGATGATGATAGCTTATGGGCTACATAGTCTTGGGTTTATGAACTCAAGTTTGTGTCCAAAAGAGCAAGTGGGAGATTGTTGGGTTTAATATGCTCATTTCACTTAAGCCCAATAGCTTTAGTGAGAGTGAGCCCAAAAAGACTAATTTCAACCCATGAAGCTTAGGGTTAGTCTTGGATTGGGCAGAGTATATAAACTCTTTTTTCTCTCTAGTGCCTCCAAGGGTTACAGACATCAGAAACACAAAGAGGCAGACGTTCATCATCTGAACGGTTGCCCACACGACCACCTGATCCCCCTCGAGTCATAGCCTGGAAGATCAACCGTAGAGCGGAATTGCGACCGTTCGTGGTGCGTTGCTGCAGATCGTGAGGCTTGAGGAGGAGAACAGAACGTGAGAAATTGTCACGCTCGCTGCTTCATCTCAGGTAATCAAAGCGGTGTTCTTCATTCCTCATCACATCGGTGCGATGCGCTTCCGCGTTTCTGATGATATACCTTCAGATATATATCTAAAAGTTAAATTTCAGACGAATTATAATGATAAACTTGTTACTTTAGATTATTTTTTTTTCTCTTTTTTGGCAAGATATGAAAAATAAATGTATTTAAGTTCATCATTTTAATGATGTAGAAATAAATATAAGCCTTCTTAAAAAAAATAGCATTTTGATCATAAGAAAATATAATAAAAATCCAGCATTTTGATCAAAGGAACTAACGTGGGTCTATGTTGAATTTTAGATGGACCAAGATTTTAATTAATTAGATCTATTTTGAATTTAAAGGAATCATAAGTCGACTTTTTTTAAGAAATTAAAAAGGACCCCATAATTTTTGTTGAAGACCTAAAAAATAATTTACTATTATTTCTAATATTGGAGAGGTCTCTTGGCACACATCATAATAAGCACGATCTGATAAACTAATACAATATATTATAATTTCGTTAGTTGTTTGGTGTGAATACTGTATTATGTAAGTTTATTTGTCCAGCCCGTTTTATATTTTAAAATAATGGATAATCAGATATTAGAAAGAGAAATTAAACTTAGATTAGGTTTTTATGCAGGTGGGGTGAGAGCATGTGTTCGAATCTCTCCAGTACCACCTTTGAGAGGGGTTTAAAGTCTTAATCCTAGACCCGCCCCGAATCAGATTGGTTGCGAAGCAATGAACCGATTGGAATATTTAAAAAAAAAAAAATTTAGGTTTTTATGAACAAGCACACTTCAAATCTTTCCCATTACAATATTACATATTATAGATTGCAAGAGCATCATATTAAGAAAACATAAGTCGTCTATGAATCCACAACAATAAATAACTAAGGATGTATTTCTGGTTAAGTGTATTTCTTTCACTACTATAACATAAAACCCAATATATATGGACAGGTCTGCAAAAACCAATTAAAAGGTCACTCTTCTGTCTCCCAATAGTGAGCACCATGAACCCAGTTCAATTGAGCAGGTGCTGGGTCATGCCGTCGCTGTTGAGGTCTAGGTCGCTGCCGAAACTGGGTCAGATTAGAACGCTAGTATAGTTCTATATCTTGAAGATAGTGATTTGACTAATGTTGAGGGCAGTTTCGTTGCTTGTATTGTTTTGGCCTTTTGCCCCCTTTATGTATTAAAAAAAAAATTGGCACTGTCTAAATTTTTTCTGACTCCAATACTAATGAATCTCTGACTCCCTGCTCGCCCATCATACACGATAAATGTTGCATTGAGACAGCACTTTTAGAACTTTAATTCATATCATTACCTCTTCGAGCACCTACACATCTTATATTACATATACCTACCTAATTCTAATTCTACAACAGTTCAATCACGAAAATTTGATTGACAATACTTTTGAAGAAAGAGACACTGAAATAAAATTGTTTGGGATTTCACTTAGGGGGCGTTTGTTACTGAGTTTTTTTTTTCGTTTCCCAGGAAAGTATGATCAGACAAATAATGAACCCATGTTTGGTAAAGCAAAAAAGAAAAAAATTCAGACTACAAATGTTTCCAGACAACCATATCATGTGCAATTTTTTGTACAACGTGCATAAGTGAAATTCCATAAATTAGATGGATCATTTTGTTGCCCGGAGAAGTAGAAATTGGGGCATGAATTTATTGACAAAATTAACCTTCATGAAAACAATGTGTCAACCAAACATATTGGTACAAATTTAAAGTGGGATTATTTTCGTAAAATAATCTCACATTCCCACTAATATTTCACAACCAACCAAACACACTCAGTAAAATTAATCATTAATTTCCGAGAAAATTTTAGCATACCAAACATCTTTTACTAACATTCCAGACCAAATATATTTCACACTACATTCCAGTAACAATTATTTTCCGGATTTAAAAAAATGTCTCCTCTCCCAAACACCCCCTTAATACACTTTCTAAATCAGTCGATGCTTTGGTAGGAATAATCTAGGTGGCGCGTTTAGTTTGCTTCAAGGAGACGATGATGCCAACTTGAGATCATATTATGAAAAATAATTATTTAAACAAGTGGTATTTTTATAAAAGTATTGTATTTTTATCATATTCAATTTTATACAATATATCAGTAAATATAAGATAATACTATTTTATATAAGGTTATATTACTCTTATGTAATAGGAGATATATTATCTCATGTTATAGATACAATCATGTAGTGGGTCTCATTATTTATTACAAGGGCTTTATACTTCTTCAGCCACTGTAGAACAATTTTTTTTGCAGCTGACTCAAGAAAAATGAGCCCCGCCCCTTTTAGAAAAATAAAACAAGAGAAAAGAAACGGCCCGGTTTTTAATGTGAGCGTAGCAGAAGAAGATGATTTTTGCAGTAACATAAGAAGCATTTTAGCCTTATTAAAAAGGAAAAAAGAAAAGAAAAGAGAAACACAAAAATCAATGAGTGTGTAAGAAGTTATATTATCTCATGCAACATAAAAATAATATAACCCTTTTATATAACACATTACTGTGCAGTGTTGAAATTTTATGAGACCATGTACCATCATATCTTATGGTATCATGTGTACCTATCCAACCTAACCATTATATTTTAACCTAATTTACTCCTTGAGCAAGTACTCGTAGGAGAATACATAATTATTTAGTTGCATAAAACAAAATTACATTTTGTGCCATATGCAAAATTTACCTGATGCTTATCTCTTAGTAATAATTTCATTCGACAGTCAATATAAAACTTGTTTAGTAAATTAGTACTTTATAATAATGGAAAAGACATACAATAGAGTCAGGAACAAAGGAAACCATGTCATAAAAATAGTCATCCGCAAGTTCCCAATAACATTTCTGAAATTATGCCGGCTTAGATTCTCTCTATATACAAACAGCCGTAACTGTGCATTGTGAAAACCATAAAAAACTAATATAAAAACATGTATTCGACAGAGGACGAAGTAAAAAAAAAAAAACCTTATTGACTCTTGTTGAGGGCAATGGCTCATTTGTATAGCGGCTGGATCATTCAAGATTGGCCATCCGGAACAAAGATAATTTACATAATTGGAAATATATAGGAGCAGATTTATTTGTCTGTGAATCTCCCAAAAAGGAACAACGAGGTATTCACACGGTGCCCATCAGGCAAAAGCTCTGCTTTTGAAGCAGCTTTTGAGTGTTCCTTGTTTGAAGATGGAACAGATAGAGAAAGGGAAAGAGATGCAGCAACACCATCATCCTCCTTCCCATCTGCCAAGCTATCTGGACGGTTATTTTTCCGGTCTACTGCCCCAACTAAGAAAGGCAGCATAGCCTTAGGCGCAGGCGGCGGCAGTGCTTTTGTTTCACCCCCTAAAGCTAACTCTAGATTCGGAATCCCATCTTGAAATCGGTCCTCAAACTCAGGAAGCCCTTTCAAAGACATGCTATTCAGCATCGATTGCGAGTCACTAATATTCTGTGTACCAATGGGAAAGAAGGTTCTTTCCATCGTTCCCAAGTCCTCACAGATGATTTTCTCATCACAAGCTTCTTCACATACTTTGTCCTCAACTGAAGAACAGGAACCGGGATTAGTGGCAAGAGGGGCAAAACTGTCATTAAAAGAGTCTCTACCTACAGTACTATAACATCCATAAATCCCACTGAAATCTGTCTTTAGCTTCTTGCTAGAACTTTCTCCATCTTTCAGTTTGCCATTTACCTCATTCCAAGGCATTTTCTGAGAACCAAATGCAGAAGCCTGCATAACTCTGTCTGAAAGATCAACATACTGAACTTCTTTATCACTGGATAGCTGCCAATTGATCCCTTCTACAGCCAGGTCCTCCTGAAAAGTTGCCTCCAAGTCAATATAGTGATCATCTTTTTTCGGTTTCTTCTTGAGCCATAGCTGATCTTCATTACCATCCATTTTCTCTAAAATTTTATCCTTACTTATATTGCTTGCAGCACTTGTTTCTTGATTTCCAACAGTTGCCTCCAAGTCAATATAGTGATCATCTTCCTGTTTCCTAGGCCTTAGCAGATATTCATCACTGTTCATTCTTTCTGAACTTTTATCCTTGCTAATATTGCTTGCAGCACTTCTTTCTTCATTGTAAATAGTTGCCTCCAAATCAATATAGTGACAATTTTCTTTCTGTTTCCTCGTAGGCCTTGGCTGGTCTTCATGACTGTTCATTCTCTCCAAAAAAATTTCCTTGCTAATATTGCTTGCAGCACCTCTTTCTTGACTGCCAACAGAAGGAATTGCCAAATATAAGGTGTTCTCTCGCTTGACAGAAATATGAGAATCAGTTTTTGTTTCCACAATCCCACTAGTACATACACTCGTTCCCATTGCTTCGGGAGGTTTAGAATGTTGCAGAACACTAGCTTTCTGCATAAAACGAGAACATCTTTCAAAAATTGGTAGCAAAGATAACACCTACTCTTCATAAAACAGGTTTCTAATTAGTGATCTCAAGGAAGGTATAGTTCACGACATAGCTTACAAGCAAAAAGAAGTGAGACAAATACAAGGGCATTCATTCTGGGATTTCATCCCAACACATTCAAGCTTTCACCTAAATGGTTTCGCCCCTACAGAAATGGTCAACCGGGTCTTATACCGGCATTACCTTACTATACGAATTCAACAACCCTGTTTATCTTCCCTTTCATATAAATATCAAGAATTGCTCACATCTTAATATTATTATGTAACCTCAAAGCTAAATTCATTTCAGACCACAAAAATAAGAAGTGAAGATATCTCATTGTGGGACCATCGAAGTCGAAAAAAATTGTACAAAGCAATCACAACGATCTATCTACGGAATCAAAATAGCACTTTCTAACTTAAATAGCATGGGGGACCATGATCAGATCACAATATTGACACCGCAATTCATGTAATAGATCTTCATCAAATTAAAAACAAGCTTTTAAATCCATCAAATTATGCATTTAAACCAGTGGATTTCATTTCTTGACATAACAGAGTACTGCTTGTTGGAACCCTTGATGTAGATTTGGTGTCGACTCTACTATCTAGCTTCTGTAAGTTTACTTGAGAACCAAAATGTGTCTGGTCATTGATATCGATATTCCTACTTACAGTAATCTGGCATTGGCCTACGGAAGTGGATGGGAGAACTGCATTGCATGCTTTATCACAATCAATTGATTCTTCGTCCATGCACTTTGGCAAACAGTGCATTTCAGACAGAGTCGCTACAACACTTGAAGAATTTTCCTCAACTGGCATCACATTCAAACTGGGAATACAAATCTTTTCTGCAGAATCTGAAAGACTGATCCTCCTCCCCCTAAATACGCCCCATAAGAAAAACAACATATTCCAGCCTGCCAAAAAAATAGGACTGTCAGCAATCTTAACATATGATAAGTGAATTAAACAAATTATTTTCTTATTAAAAAGAAAAGGATGATGAGTTTTGTAGCAACGGTAAGGTTTTTTTTTTTTTTTTTTACATGAAGGTCATAGGTTCGAGTATGGAAAATAGCATCTTGCAAAAATACAAGAGTAAGGCTGCGTAAAATCGTCACCCCTATCCTTGCAAAGTTGGAAAGCCTTGTGTACAGGGATTTGCCCAATTATTTTCTTATTAAAAAAACTAAAAATGTAGTTACATAGATGTACATTTAAAATTTCAATGACATAAATTGCAGGCTAGGCATAGTATATTCAACTGTCAAGGACCAACTCTACCAAAGGCATAAGTTATTAGATAAAGAATAAGGAATGGTTTTATATCTAACACACACTAACGCAAGAACTTTTTGAGCTTGAAGCGTGGACAATTCAAAGGCCACATATGTTGTTGAAATTTAACTTTTTAATAAAAAAAATGGAGGTAGCAAGAATCGAACTCATGACAACTTGGTCATAAAGACTTTGATTTACCAATTGATACAAATGTTGAGAGAACCACAATACAAAATCTAGCCCTTGTGGTGTGAGAACCCAAGGCCAACTCTAGAATTCCATACTTCCAATGTGGGACTCACGTCCCGTATCTTGAGATTAGATTCTATCATTCCACGATGCTGTGCAGCCTCAATGCACATGCAAGCTGACTGTGCAATAGTCTTTTGACTAGCATTGGGCAAACACTCCAACTCCAGGTTCACTATCCACGCTGCTCGTTTGCAACTAAGAGACATGGTGGAAGAATCTTATACCAATTGAGGACCAACTCTCCCAAAAGCTCAAGCTATTAGGGGAGAGCATATGAACGATTTTATGCTAATACCCACTAATGATCAAAAAGGGAACAAAAGATTGGCCTAAACTTGCACTAGTGAGAAATTAATGCCTACTGAATGCATGGTCAAATTATTGTTTTCAACTAAGTCCAAATTCAATATAAATCATCCTCATTTTTTGTAACCTTAATGAATTCCATCTATGTCTGACATCTTATAAAGCAATATATAGAATTAGAATCCACAATCAAAATGAAGGAGGACCACCACTCAGAAATATGATGCCCAAGAAACCATTACAAAAAGGACAATATAAAATCCACACTAGAACAGAACCATGCTACTCTTTGTAAGAGAGAATTCCCAAACCGTCTTCCCCAAGACATTTCAAAATTGCATATCAACTGAATATCGGCAGTCCATAACACTAATCTAGGCATAAACTTCAACACAAGCCTCAAACCCTTAAGTATCCACTTGTAAGTTGCTTACTATGTCGGATTTTTTGGCAAGAAGTATAGAATAATTCCTTACGCTGTAAATTTTCAGGAAGCTGATTGGATGGGAATATGAGAAGTTCAACACCATCAAAAATCCCTTTAAGTGCTAAATCATTTCTAATCATGTGATCCAATAGACCCTTGTAGTGTCTCTCATAGCTGTGTCAGAACATCATTAAAAAAGTCAATTATAACAACAAAGAAATATTTGCATTTCATAGCCTAATGTCAATATAAGAACGATATTCAGATACTTGCCTTTCGATATCTCTGGCAAAGAAGTAAAGAGCAATATTATCTTCTCTAACACCACCTTGAAGAAATTGTGAAGGCCACGTACTCAAGCGAGGAACTTCGTTGACAGGAACTTCGGGTGGAAACTTGTTCACTACCTCAAGAACCTTAGGAGAAGCACAAGAGGATAAATGTGCCTGAACTCCGGTACATAAGTCAGGAGGCTTTCCATTTCTATGCACTTCAAAGTCACCCCTGCATGCAAACAACAAAGCTTGTGTAGAACACGCATGAATACAAAACAAGAAAAGTAATACAGCAAGCGAAATCGAGAAGTAAAGACAAACTAGTTCATCAAAAGATGTTTCATACTGCCAGATGTATTCATATTCAGGAATGGCCAACATCTTCGAAAGAACACTTGACATTGCTTTATGAGACAAGGATCTCGCTACAGGCTTTCCAGCAGCAAGACCAATGGAATCCGACTTTCCTGGTTGGGAACAAAAATCAGTTCGACTAGAGTTCAGTTGCTTTAAATCATTGGCAGATGAGCATTTGGAAGAATCAGATGTAGAGTTCTCAAGGATTTCCTGTTGTTCATGTGTATCTTCAGCAGAGATACTATTCTTCAGTGTACTGGAAACCAACAATTGATCTTGCAAAGCGACTTCGCAATTCAACTCTGTGCCCAGTGTAGAAACCTCATCAGTTTGATTAGGCACTTCTTTCTTCTTGTATATTTCAGGCCTTCTAAGTAAAGCAGCCTGGATTGCAGCTTTCAATCTATTGCCTTTATGCATATCCTCTTTTGAACTACTAGAGGTAGTGGCAGATATTTCAGCACCAGATTCCTGTGTACTACCGGCTGTGCAACATTCCGGAGGATGGCCAAATTCTTTACATTTTTGACAGAATGAGCTTTTTGAAGCAGCGGGAACAACTGGCATTACACGATCACTAGAACTATCTCTGGTTTTCTCAACCTGATTTGCTGTCTCTCGTGATCGAGGCGGCACATCTTGTAGAGCTTCATCGACACTGGTTGAAGTTCTCTCTGTAAAAGTCAAAGAAAAATGAAATAAGAAAAAAACTTTGCAGGTAACACAGTCCCAAGCACAAAATCCACCACTGCAAGATGCGCCAACTGAAACTAAAACAAGGGAAAAATACATAGATGGATAGCTTTATTAAACTGAACCTAAAATATTAAGAGCAGCAAATAGACCACATAAAAAGAAGGTAAAATAAAATACAATAACAGGAATAATATGCTTCCAATTGAGATCACACCTGAACTATCTTGACGATCCAAACTTTTACGGCTTATATTACTTGTTGACTTTGCACTTAATTTTCCATCATGGTTAACCTTCAACTCTCGACTGTTGATAACTGTTGAAGGTTTAGGGGTATCACCACGTGGTGTAAGCCTCTGATCACCCTTAGGTGTGAAAAGAACAGAACTAGCCACAGGTCGATCATTCCTAGATGGAAATTTCCTATCAAATGAACCTGATTCTTTTAAATGTCTAGATCCTTTCAACTCTGATGCAGTTGCAGACTTAGGCGAAAGCATTTTAACTTTTGGTTCAGTCGCACTGGATCGGCCCAAACTTGAGGATTTGAATAACGTTGATTTGCTTGTCATCCGAGCAGGTGTCTCCATATTCTTAGAAGTTTTTTCATTAACCCCTTTTAGTTTTCGGGGAACAACTTCATCAACAAGTTTGACCTTTGGCTTGGAATTTATGTTGAATGATTTAGACTTCAACAGCATACCTATTCATATAAAAAAAATTGGCTTAAAATAAATGAAACCCAAGGAAACATGATACAAAATTGGCATGGAACCCAGCTGCTTAAAAGACGCAAAGGAAAAAATATAGAAAGTTGCAGCGAAGCACAACAGATGAAAGATAAATCCATACTCTTTGGAATTTGACCCTGAGGGCCAATGGAAGTAGAACGAGCAATCTCTGTGTCATCAACACCTGAGTGGTTATGAGTAGGCATCAGAAGAGCAGGTTTCGCTTTTAATTTATCTAAGCTCTTAAATGAAGATTCTCGTGACAGTGTAACTAATCTCTTGGGGCTTGATGCCTTGGGCAATCCTGTGCTTGATTCAAGAGCTTGTCTTTTTGCTGCTGGTGCTACTTCAATGTTATCAGAAAGCCTTTTGCCAGAGACTTGTGAAGTTGAACTAACTTCAAGGATTTTTTTTCCTTCAACATCTGAACCACAAAATTCAATTCCACATATATGTCAGCATACAGCCATAGATACAGATAATGGGTGCTTAAATGCTTATGCTACCCTCAAAATCAGAACATGTAAATTCAGTTTGTAGAAAGAATCATCTGCATAAGCTGATAGCGTATAAGGGTTGTTAGTCTGACCCCAGAACACCTTTTTTCAATATCATATACAACTTCACTCTTACCCAGCCTTTTATTTTCAGTCTCCTCTGCATCTTTGCATTCTTCACATAACCATTCCCCTTCAGGGACTTTCTCAAGCATTTCTTTCATGCAGTAGCTGATTCAAAGAAATAATTATGGAAAGACTATTTTAGTTAAAGAAATTTGCAAAAATATAATAGAAACTAGTAAGAAATAAGGTGAAAGTTTCTTATGCATACGTGTGCTCTGCACCATCACTGCACCTACTGCATATGGCAAGTAGATCCTCACGACCAGCATCTCCACAGATATCACACACCTTTATCTATTATCCAGTCAATGAAATCAGAAATGGAAGTTGAAGTTAAGCATCCCACAGACCCTATTAAATTCCACTCCTCCCATTTCCATTTCTATCTAGTTTCAGCAAAAAAATAAATTAACATGGAGAAAAGAGGAAAGATACTTACATCATGTTCCATGACATCAGATTCATCATTCTCATCTTCAGATTGAGGTTCCTGCTTGGCAGGTGATTTAACCAGTTCTTCAGCCTTCTCGTGTGGTCCATCATGAACTGAACATTTATGATCTTCATCTTTATCATCACAGACATCATTATCGGTATCTGCTTCTGTTTTTGGACATACTTTCAGTGAAACATTGGTAGTACCATCAATATGGCAATCCTTATTAGCAATAGATTTCTCCCCAGAAACAACAATAGGTTCCCTCTCTTTGGAAAATGATGAACTAGAATTCTTGATAGAGCATTCTGACAACTTTTCAGGAGTATGAGAACGCGAATCCCTTTCCACATGCTTTAAGCTTGGAATACCTGAGAGAGATTTACCACTTCGAGATTGTCCAAACAGGCTTTGTACCTTAGGTGAGCTATGACCAGTATCCTCATCTTTAGATGTTGGGATCTCAGACAAGCCAGACACATTAACAGAGGGAACACTTCCAGAACCTTCTGCCATTAAATGACTAACTGAAGCTGAACTACAAGATATATTTATTCCCTCTGCATTCCTTTGATAGCTATCATTCACTACATTAGGATCACTGGCTCTACTAATACACGAAGTGTTATCATCATGAACTTCTAAATACTTGGAATCCTGATACTTATTTGATGACATCTGTCTACTCTGGGCATTTTCAGATAGAGAACCATGACTTGAATTAGCACTGAGCATATTACTGGTTTCACTGAGAGCATGCTGCGAGCTTTCACAAGCTCTGCTCCTAAGAGAATATACATTACCCTCATCCATAGAATACTGATTATTAGCCTCCCCTACGCGACAGCTTTCATCTGAAAACTCTTCAGCCTTCGAACCCATAAGAGCATGGTTAAGATGCATGCAAGATGAACAAGGAGCTGAGCACACGTTACAAGTTCCCGATTCAAGTCTCATATCAGTGTTCTGCATCGTTTGACAAACTTCTTTCCAGATTCAGGTGATACCTAATCAAAACAAAGCATAAATTAAAAGAATGATGAAACCTTTGACTCACACTCTCACTAAGACTTTTTACAAGGTTAAGGATCCCTCCAATGTCAAAGTTTTACCATGTTACTCCATAGGAGTAGGACTAAGACACAAATGATTTATCACAAGTACAAAAGCCGCATCAAATTTTATCTTATTATATTTGTGAAACATGTCTTTGAAGTTCAGTAACTAGTATTCATCTTTTTCTATAAGATGTGGATATTGTGCCAACCATGGATTTACTCGGATATGTTGTAACATTTTCTCTAAGTACATTTGAAGATTTGGGCCCAAAAAAGGAGTGTATTTGAATATAATGTGATGTCATAATTTATAGCCAGATTTCTTATCCCTGCTGCTTTTACAAAACGGGATTATTGTTTAGGCTTGTGGATTTTAGCTAACGATTTCTTTATGAGGCTTTTTTGTCATGTACTCATGCATGCAGAGAATGGAGCACTCTCTTGAGCTAATAGTTATGTATTTAGAAACAGGGGCAAGAAGATGTATAAAAGGGAGTGATGAAAGATAGAAGTCACGCTTTTCAGTTTGACAGTCATGAGGGTCAGGAAATTCTCATTCTCCGGAGTTCGATCATGTGACTCAAATGCGGCTACAACTTCACAGCTTCAAAACAATAACAAGATAAAAAATGGATTGCAATAAAAGAAAAAAGGAACAGATTGTGAATTACCGTATTATCTCATCATGTTATCCTGAACTTCTTCGTGACTCTAACTTGAGGTCCTAGCATCTGGAAACTCCTCTTCTATACTGTTGTCATGCAAACAATACATCCAAATCACATCAACAAATATTGCCCCAACATTCTCCAGAAAAGCACATTCAAGTACTAATCCATGAAATACCTCTTTCAACCCATAATCTATTAGAGACTGCAATTTCTCAAGTGCTAATTGAAGTGTGCTAAAAGACCCCCCTCAAAAAATAAATAAATAAATAAATAGCAAAATAAAAATCCTCCAAGTCCCAAAACCCCTTCCACTGACAAAATCAAACCCTAACCCCCAACAACAAACTGAATTATCTCCCCCTATCAGAACGAAAAGTACCCAATTTTTCCAATATCCGTGTCAATTACACAACGAAGACAGTCCCAAGCAAAAAAGAAAATGACGCAACAAATCGATTAAAAAAATCTAAATTTGAATAATGAAATCAAAAACCCTAACTGGCAAAAATTCACATGCGTATAGGTTGAAAACCATATTGGTTGCATTGTAAACCCTTACCTTGCGTTGGGAAAAGAGAGCAAAGTGGGTCCTGTGATGTACGAAGAAATCTGCGTATTTGAATTTGTGGGGAATCAGAGTTATGAGTATATGTGACGACCACACCACCAAATGGGGATTCAGACGAAGGGTTCAGAGAACACCCACATGAGCATGCAAATGCAAATGCAAATTACACGCAGGCACAGGATCTCATTCAACACAATCTCTCTCTTTATTTATAGGGATTGTAGTAGAGAAATTATCTTATTTTGTGAGTGAGTGTAATATGAGAGATAAATTTTATGTAAAATAAGAGTATAATTTTCTTTATTTATAAACAATTAAATAAATTACTACATCAATTATATTAATTTTCTTCCCTTTTTTCTGCCCTCACTTTCTCTGTCTGTGATCTGAATAAAAAAAAAAAAAAAAAAATTATAAAAACTTGGAAATTGGTATTTTATTATTTTGTCATGAGATTCCAAATTCCATTTAACACAGCTGGCTTAAACTGCCCTCTCTAAAATTTCTCTGTTTTCCTCAAAAGAAAAAAAGAAAAAAAAATCTCTTTCACTGTGTACATATTTAAATGAAATTATTTAATTAATTCCAAAACCTTAAAAAAAATATTAAATTCCTGAGGGTCTTAAAAAAAAAAAAGAATGAAGGGTGCAGCTCGCGCGTGTGAAATGCAGCGACACGTGTGAGTTCATTGTGAACGAACGGGAAAGGTGTGCGCGAGTGAGGATGGCGTGGGTCAGCAGTAACGCCTAATTGGCATGCGTCCACGCCTCACATTTTCCCTAATCTTCTAAGTTACATCAATTAGTTTATTTTGCTTCATTCACCTTCCTTGAATTCATATTTTAATAAATGTTTTTAAAAAAATAAGCATAAAATTAACTAATTTTTTTAATAAAAATATATATTTCTGCATTAATACAGATAAGTTATCTGCATTTACTTTCAAAATAACATCGTTTTAAGATTGAAATATTAGAAAATTATAGTTATAAGTACTATAATAACTCTAAAATAAATTAAAATTACAAAAATACAATGATTTTCATCTCAAAATAACTTCGAATTGGACTTACTGCGGATAACTTATCTACAGTAACAGCAGAAAAAGCGAACTATTTTTTTAAGGAAAAAAGTATCTAATATTACTTTAGACAACTTTGTCTAATGTTCATCGAAACGACGTTGTTTTGAGGTTAAAAAAATTAAAAAATTAAAATGATAAAAACTATTATAACTCTGAAATAAATTAAAATTACAAAAACACCATGATTTCTGTCACAAAACGACGTCGTTTCGATGAACATTAAATAAAGTTATCTAAAGTAACTTTAGAAAAAATAAAACTTTTTTTAATAACAATTATCAATAAGTTTGTCTAAAACTCATAACAAAAACATCATCAGGAAAAACATTAAATTAAAATTGAATCTCATATATATACGCATATATATAGTAACTCCATTAATGACTTTTAAATTAATTAATGCTTCGTTTCATAATTTTATCTTAAACCTATAATATATTTTTGAAAATATATATATAAAAACAAATGCAAATTATTATATCATATATTTAAGAATATCAAGCTAATCTAACATTTCATATTATCTATATATTCATTTTAATTTTTTTCCCCTAAAATATGCCTTTACATTAAATTAAAAGCGAATAAAAAAGTTTCAAATCTATACCCACATATCTCAAAACTGCTACTTCTTTTTGTATCCTTATCTCGTCCATCTCTTTCTTCTTCCAAAGACCAAAAGCTCCCTAATATATTAACTCGACAACTCGTAATATAATTGTATCAGTAATTTAAAAAAAAAATTATCAATCTGCCAGTAATTATTAAGATAATATCATTGTTGAAGGAAATTATTATACTTTTGAAAAGGGATAGACATTGAGTGTAGTCTGATAATAAGTAAAATTAACATGCCTATTTACGAGGATAGATATATTATATTATATTATATTAAAAATATGGCACATGTGAACACTCCATTTAGATCAGGACTCTTTTATTATTATTTATTGATAATAATAATTTTATTATTATCGTTATTTATTTAAATAATAATATAAAATTTAAAAAAGTAAAAGAAAATTGGAGAATGAAATAGGAGAAATTGCAATTTGTCCTCAAAAAGGTTCAATCATAATGACAGATAAAATACGGAAAGGGAATATAATTTACTCATTTTAGTCGTTGTTACTTCTTCTATTCTTGTTTATTTTTATTTTTATTTTTTTATATATATTCTTCTATTCTTATTTTGAATCAGAGCGAAATTGAACCAATTAACTTTCCTTTTTAATTTGATTTGATTTGAAAGTTTGAAATTTTTTCATTCTCTTTTGATCTAGATCAAGCTGAACCAATCAGGGTAGTGTGCGAATCGAGTAACTTTTCTTCATATTAATTTAATTCAAATTTATTTATTTATTTTCTCAATTTTCTTCTAATGAGGGGAAGAAGACAAAAACTTGATTTAGAAAAAAGTGATGGAGTGGTCTCACATATTAAAAGGGAGATACGTAAGGTCGGCCAATGAAAATAAAGAACAAAGCAAGAAACATGTTCACCAAGGAATGAGCAACTAAGGCAAAAGCAAACTCCGATTTGAGTGCATTGAGAATTTATAAATCCTTTTACTTTCTTTATTCTTAAATCCTTTGATTTTTGTATTGTAATTATAAATCATTTGTTAAATAATCATGATGATTTAATATGTTTGATTCAATTATTTGTCAAAAAAAAAAACTAAAATAGATTTGTTTTTGTTGTGAAAAGAACGGTGAATAGATGGAATCAACTCAAACTCAATAAAAGAAATTACAAGATACATATAAAGAGAGTAAGAGAGAAGAAGTTAGAAATTGTATTATTCATTGTATAAGAATATAAGTCCTACCACTAGTACCACCTAGTATGGTGGTAGCTCAATTGACGCAAGGGAGCTGTGTAGGTGGGGTGAGAGCATGTGTTCGAATCCCCCTAGTACCACCTTTGGGAGGGGTTTAAAGCTTTAATCCTGGACCCGCCCCGAATCGGATTAAACCGATTGGAATATTTCCAAAAAAAAGAATATAAGTCCTACCACTTCTATATATAGATGAAGGTAGAGGAAGAACACAAGCTCTTTATCTATCCCAGATGTTACAATATATTTAATCTCCCATAAAATGTATTAATGCCCATTTGTAACACTCCCCTTTGGACAATACGATGCTAAATCTATGTCTCGTTAAAATCTTGCTAGAATAATCCAATGGAAAAAAAATCAGCGAAAGAAAAAGAGTACATGATATATGCTATCAAGCATTGCATAATATGCCTTATTAAAAACCTTTAGCTAAGAAAAACTTTGTGGAAAAAAAATTAGCAAAAAAAAGGAATACAAATTTATACCTTCAGGGTCCCATCCTTCAAGGATTATAATAATTAATTTGCTCCCATGATGAAAGTAACTTCTTAATTTTAGGCATACCTATTTCATATACAAGTTTCTCAAATATGGAAGTAAGTAAGGATTTAGTGAATAAATCTGCAAGATTATCACTAGAGTGGACCTGATGGATATTTATTTCACCCTTCTTTCGGAGTTCATGTGGGTAAAAGAATTGTAGAGAAATATGTTTAGTCTTATCACTTTTAATATATACATCGCTCATTTGTGCAATGCAAGTTGCATGATCCTCAAAAAGAATAGTGAGGGAATTATTAATTATAGGTAAACCACATGAAACATTAATGTGTTCTTTCAAAGATCTTAACCAAGCACATTCTCGAGCAGTTTCATACAATTTGCAATAATCTCAAAGTGATTTGAAAAAATAGTAATTAGACTTTGTTTTAGAAACTTCCATGAGATTGCAGTACCTCCACAAAGGAAAACATATCAAGTCTGTGATTTAGCATTATGTGGATCAAACATATAGCCATCATCAGAATATCCCACCAATGTAAAATTCCTATCTCGTGGATAGAATAAACCAAGATTAATAGAACCTTGAAGATAACGAAATATATGTTTAACCCTATTATAATGTCTTCTGGTTAGTGTAACACTATGACTAGCTAGAACAATAATTGCAAATGTGATATTAAGCCTGGTGCAATTTGTAAGGTATATTAGTGCTCATATAGCGCTAAGATAAGGAACTTCAGGTCTTAATCCTTCTTTGTTAACGTCTTTAGGTTTAAATGGATTTTATCCACTTCTAGTAAACGAACTATCCATAGGGTACTTAGAGGGTGACACTTGTCCATATAAAATTTTCCCAAGATCCTTTTTACATAGTTAGACTGATGCAAGAAAATTCCTTTGGGGAGATTCTTAATTTGTAGCCCAAGACAATAATAGGTTTGACCTCAGTCTTTCATTTCAAATTTTCTTTTTAGACAGGAATGAGCTTATTCAACCTCCTTTTGAGTTTCGACTATATTCAGGTCATCCACATACACCGATACAATAGCAAAGCCATTAAGAGATTTCTTAATAAACACACAAGGGCAAATCTCATTGTTCAGATACCTTTAGGAGGTAATATTTCAACTGGTTCTACCACATATGTCCGGATTGTTTAATATCATACAATGATCTTTGCAGCTTAATACTGAACATACTGCGATTTTCATTCTTGTTCATATTGGGTATGTGGAAACCTTAAGAGACTTTCATATAAATGTCACTGTCAAGTGACCCATATAAATATGCAGTCATGGCATCCATTAATTGCATCTCAAGGTACATACTTACTGCTAGGGGTGTTCATCAACCGATCCAAACCGATTCAAACCGCGGTAACCGAACCGAAAAATCGATAACCGAATAAACCGAAAAACCGAAAATCGAAAAAAGTCCGCAAATTATAATTGGATTGGATCGGTTTTTGGATGGGTTGATGAAAACCGATCCAATCCAAACCGATCCAATATATTAATTCCCCTCTACCTACTTGGGTTTTTCCCTAATCATAGCCCAAAATTTTCTAAACCCAAGACCCATTAATCCATCAACTAAACCCTAGAAAAAATCTAGTAACATCTCATCAATAAAATTTTATCTTTGTAAACCTTCACATCTCATTGCCCAAAAAAAAAATTATATTATAGTTTTACTAATGCTTTTGTATTTCAAAAAATAAATAAAT